AAGATACGGGATAGTTCTAGAAACAAGAGAGCGTGAGAATTGTCACGTGATCTCGATGACGCAACAGTTAGATATTTGTGTATTTATGCATATATTTTAGGTTTGTTATTCTGGGTAGTCTGAAAGCCATGGTGATTACTGCATTTTGTATAATTTGTAATTTCTTAATATGTGTTTGTTTGAAGTTAAGAACAAAGCTACACAATGGGCTCTATGTGATCTGCCTACCACGGGTATCGAAATGCGAATTCTAGCATTGTAAGTCGGCAAACATATTGCTGTGCCACTGGAAAGGGCTTAATATGTGTTAATTACCACATTAATACAAGCAGACAAGCGTATTTTACTACTGGTAGTATGTATTGTTTATACATTTTAAGGATATTTTCAGATGTAGCTCCTGTAATTTTACAAGTCAGTTTCTTGATATAGTTTGCTTGTTGCCATATTTTGTTTTTGATTTGATTGATACGATTTTTTCAAATTCATTTTGAACCATACGTTACTCTAAGAAATTTTGCTAATGTGAGGACGCCTAAAAAATGTAAGTCCAATGTAAGTATATTTCGGGAAGGTTTCTAAGCGTTTTTTTGTTCGTTTTAGTTAGTTTTTGGAACACTTATTTTTTATTGTGTTTCAGACAGTACTCGACTATTTGATTTAAAACTGGCTGTAAGTTTGTAGCTGCAATCGAAGGGTTCGTGGAACTCTTCCATATGACCACATCGTCTGCTAATCGTGAAGTTAGACTAAAATTTGGGTCTTCTAATGGCATATCGCTTTCATACACGATGAATAGGATAGGGCTAACTATCCATCCCTGGGGAACACTTGCCTCAGGAGTAAAATACTCCAAGTAGGTGCCCTACACGTTCGTAACATTTTTCTATTATCTGAAATGCTGGGCAACTAGCTAACGCTGTCGGTAAATCTATTAGCCAGACTAAATATTTATTCAAAACAACCCTACTCTAAACCAACACCTCGGATGCCTAGATACCTCTAAATATTTGTTTCTTTGGTTTGAATTTCGTGCAAAGCTACACGAGGGCTATATGCGCTAGCCATCCCTAATTTAGCATCGATAGGCTAGAGAGAAGGCACCTAGTCAACTCTTTGGCTTCTCTTTCATCAACGAATAGTGGGATTGACTGTCGCATTATAATGCCCCCACATCTGAAAGGGAGAGTATGTTTAGTGACGGGAATTTGCACCCGCAGATTGCCTTAATCACCAGGTCATGCCAAGCCTAAAAGATATATAAAAAAATATTGTCTCATTGTAATGTACTGTCGCACAAAACA